GTGTGTGTGTGTGTGTGTGTGTGTGTGTGTGTGTGTGTGTGTGTGTGATTCTGTGCTTATGGGACAGACAGCCAAGACAGACAGACAGGCAAGATAAACAGCTGAGGGGAGGGATTAAAATGCAGAGAGAAGCTGTCATTGTTGATGCTGCTTATAGATACTGGAAAACTAACAAAAAAAGGGAAAACTGAACTCTGAATTTGACTATATAAAAATTATGCTAATTACAGTCATTTATAAGAACTAATTACCATATGAACAATAACCATTATGCAGCTTGTTAATATCTGCCAGATTAATTTTGTTGTAAGTTTTATTTGATGGCAACACTAATCTGTGGCTGCTTGGATTTCTGATGCTCATTTGGCATGAGCATTTGCTTGCTATATTATTTTTTTAAATCAGAAGGAATATTATATAAGGTTAATTTGTAATTAGCATAGATGTTGCACCTGCGTTCTAGTGCTTAAAATTATTTATTCTCAAGTAGTTTAACTCTGTCTCCTGAAATATTATTTATAGTATTAATTTATTGGGGAAAGCAAGTTTTCCAATGGTAAAAATGGCATAGCCCTGGCTTGGAGAAACTTGCCACCTACTACTGAGAAGATTATAAAGTACTTTAAGCACATTATCTCAGCTGATCTTTGCAAAAAAAAAAAAAAACCCATGAAACAACTTCAGCTGTTATTATTCCCTTTTTACAGATGCAGAAACTGACTCAGAGCACTGTCCATAATTAAAAGTTATTAAATGATAGAGTAGGATTTCAACCTACATTTTACTGACCCAAGGTCTAGCACCCTATCTGCCCTAAGACTCCATGAAGGGGAAGAGTATGAGATGAGATTGATCGGTTAAGTTGGAGTCAAATTATAAAGGACCTAGGATCAGAAGGTTAAATTGCATTCTGCAGGCAATGGGAAGCTACTGAAAATGGAGTGTTAAACATCATCAGATTTTCTTATAAATTCAACTTTATTTACCAGCAGAATATTACCAATAGCTTTCATCTTGATACTCCCACTGATATAACCACATTCACAAATGATGACCTTTGGTCCCTAAAGGTTTCCTTATCACATTTTGTAAGTCCTTTAGGAAAATATTCCCCTTTCTGTTACTGCTGTGGGGGGGGGGGGGGAACATGGTATTATATGATGATGTGTCATTTATACTTGGTTCCAACTCAAATAACTATAATCCACAGCTGTATTTTAAATGGTGCTTGTTTGGTGGGTTGATTGGTGAGGCAGGGCAGTGGAAAGAGGAGAGTTGGAAATTATCTCTGTTTAACTTTGTTTTTCAAAATGTACTGTATTATTTTATTGGGATGCAATGTACATTTCTCAACAAACACCAAAGTAAACTTCCCTCCAAAACAGACTTCCTAAAAGGTAAACTTATCCATTGCTAGCAGAGAAAGGATGTGTCTTTTAACTTCAATGGCATTCTAATAACATTGACTGCTGCTTATGAAAAGACTTGTGTTGCCTCTCCAACATTTCCCTCTGTAGCACTCCCTCTGGGCTTTCCCTAAGCTCAGACTCAGAGGATCAGTCCCCAGGGAGGCCCAAACTCCTAAAATTATGGTTTTTGAGCCTCTACCTGTGCATTTACCTTTAAGAGTTACTTAGCACAATGAGCTCCAAAAATGTATTTGCTGATGTGCATCATAAGAATGGTGACTTCAAACTACTGTCCCTCAACTATGCACATCACCAATGGAAGAGTAAGCATACCCATTGAGTAGGAAGCCACACACTTACGTGGCCAGGGCCATTGATGTCCTCAGTGCCTGAAGTCCCAGTTGTCCATTCTTTTCTCCATCTTCAGTAGGTGAATTATTTCACTGGACTCACTGTGCTTTCTCCCTGCTGGTCTGGTAGCTTCTATTGAGTGAATAGCTGTACAACCAGACACTGTGTATTGTGGAGGCATTGGTAAAGAGGGAAGAGAAAGAAATCTCACTTCCCTGAGAACTAAGTAATGATTCCCCCTCAAGACCTAGATTCTACTTTCAAATCTGGGTCCTCTTCTATGATTCCAGAAGGAAGACTCCTTAGATAATACCCAGGCACTGTTGATTGTCTAGAGTGCATCCTGCTTTTCTAAGGACACCAGGGCCAATATTTTTGCCAGTCAATGGCTAGGGGCTCTCTAATCCCATCCACGACAATGGAAAAACATCTTCACACCTCCTAAAATAGTAACAAATAGTAATAAAGCCTCCATTGGTCCTAGTTTGAGACCATAACACCATGTTGTTTTTTACCAACTTGCCCATTATTTTCTGTGTTTGCCTCAACTGGGCTAAGGGGAAAGCAGTTGATCAGCGGTGTCCTGATCAGCTCCCCCACCCAGATACCTTTATTGACATTGCCATAATCATCAAATAGATTGTTCTTCCAGTTCAGCTTCCCTTTTACTACATCACTTAATTCAAATCTTCTCATATTTCAGTCCACCAATGAATAGACATTTATGAAGCACCAAATATATGCCAGGCACTATAAATGCAAAGAAAATAAAATGGAAAAAAAAACATTCTTTCAAGAGTCTAACATTGTGCCAGGGAAAAAACATATGCATATATATGTATATATGGAATAAGTACAAAATAAATACATGATAGTTAAATACAATGTAGTTAGGGAAGGAGAGTAATAGCAATTGGGGGCATCATGTAGATCAGGGGTGGGGAACCTGTGGCCTTGAAGCCACATGTGGCCTTCTAGGTCCTTGGGTTCAGCCTTTTGACTGAGTCCAAGTTTTACAGAACAAATCCTTTTATTAAGGGGATTTATTCTGTGAAGTTTGGATTCAGTCAAAGGGCCACACTTGAGGACTTAGAGGGCCACATGTGGCCTTGAGGCCACAGATTCCCCATCCCTGATGTAGATGCTTAAACCATTGCAGGTATGCACTACCATTATAGTTCAGTAAAAAATGGTCAACCATTTGGTTGGGCGTGGCCCTCCCCAGTTGTCCTGATCTGTATCTGACTCCAGAGGAGAAAGTGAGGCTGGTGACTTTGCACAGCCCTCCCTCACTGTAATCCAATTCACTCCTATGTCATGGCACCACCTCCCTGATGTCATGGTCCTCGTTGAGAACAAGGACAGGTCACATGTGGTACACATTAGACGAGGTGGTCCCTGAGCTTCCTAACAAATCTGAAGTTCTGTGATTCTATCAGATTGGGTCCTCTTTTAAGTAACTGTATGTGCAATCCCTATAAAAGATTTGAAGAATCTAAGACAAGTCAGTAAACCTCTGTCTTTTAAGTGCTCATGGTGATTCAGAGTACCATTTCAAGGGCTGTAGGACACACTGGGAGAGTGCTAAATGATGGTAGGATCACTGCCAGAACAGAAGGAAAATTGGATTTGGCTCCTAAGAGAGGAGCCAGATGTCCCTGTTATGCAGACCACCGGGCACATTCCCCTTGTGAGGTAGTGTGCATGTGTGTATGTTGCGGGGAGGGGTATGTGCAGGGTGGTGGAGGTTATTTTATAACTCGAATTTTGTGATGTTATGTCTAGTCCTTTGAAAGTCTCTTGTTTTTCCTGGACTCACTGAAGGTTGCAGCGCAATCTGGCTTTCTTGAACCTCAGACATAGTTGAAAATGAATGAGTAAGTGAATGATAGACAGATAGATGATAGAACAAAAATTTATTAAGTACTTACTATGTCTATTGGGCTAAGTGCCGGTGATACATATACAAGTAAGCAAGATAGTTGCTGAACTCGAAGAACTTATATTCAAATATATAAGATAACAGATAAAAGGAATATCTGGGAAGTATAGCATTGAGGGGTGAAGGCTCACATATCAATGACCCAGGAACTGGGGGAGGGGAGAAGATGGAGTGACGACTGGAGTAGAGTCAACAACTAGTCAACAAACATGAAAAACATTTTTAAACAGGTTGCATAACAGAAGTTTGTGGTTTCATATATAACACCCTTCTTTGTCTGTTGGGATGCATTTAAAACAGTGCCTGGCATATAGTAGATGTTTAATAAATGTTTGTGACCTTGACTTAATTGGCTTTGTAGTGTATATGGACGATTGTTTGTAACTAAATAGAAAAGATTAAGGTCTCATCCAGCTCTCAGGTCTGTGGCTATCATACTAGATGTTGTTGTGTTATTTACCGAGCGTGTCTTAAACATGATTATCAGTGTTTCTACCAAAATGAAAGGTTGGATTCCATTGTCAATTTACATGGTGCTAATTGTCACTTTAATAAGTTATTTATGGTGTATGGTAGTGTATTATAGTAAGTGGGAAGGTGGCGGTGCCTACGTTGACTATGGCTAAGATCCATCTTCCCCAGGTAGATGGGGTAAAGATGCGCTAAACGTTGGGCTCGTCCTGCCAATAAATGAACGTGTTTGCCATGGGGAGCCCATCTCTTCGCTCTGTGTTCCTCCTCTCTCAGCGTTCCTGTCTCTGATCCCCTTTTCTCTCCCCACCCAGCTCCATCCTGAACCTGCCTGGCGAATCCACCTTGAGACGCGACTTCTTGCGCCTTCAGTTGGCCAACAAGGAGCGCTCGGAGGCCCTCCGGCGGCAGCAGCTGGAACAGCAGCAGCGAGAGAATGAGGAGCACAAGCGCCAGCTGCTGGCAGAGCGTCAGAAGCGCATCGAGGAGCAGAAAGAGCAGCGCCGTCGGCTGGAGGAGGTAGGCCAGGGACCAGGGATGCGTAGCTCCACGGACTGGAGCTGTCAGCGGTCGGCCCCGGCTGCAGAGCGCTGGGAGCTAGAGAGACGGGGCGGGGCGACAAGAAAGGAGGAGTCCCTGGTCGTCTTCTTGGGAGCTTGCTTCTTGCTGGAGATGCGGGCGTGCATGGACGGCATCACTTTGGTTGTTAATGGTTTTGGACAATGGGGAGCGTTGGGTAGAAACTGCTAAAAGGTAAAGCCACCTTCACAGTTCTAGTGACCCAGAGTGGAATGTTGAGGGCACCTGGGTGGTGCAGTGGATAGAGCACTGGCCCCGATGTCAGGAGGACCTGAGTTCAAATTTGGCCTCAGACCAAATACCTGACACTTACTAGCTGTGGGACCCTGGGCGAGTCACTTAACCCCAATTGCCTAATAAAAAAAAAAAAAGTGGAATGTTGGTTCAAGAAGTGATGGACTTCCATGACATTCAGTCCAGTGTCTTTATTAAGTGCCTGCTATGAGTCAAAACTGGGGCAGCTGAGTGACTCAGCAGGATAGAGCCCTGGATTCAGAAAGATTCATCTTTCTGAGTTCAAAGACAGCTTATACACTTAACTAGCTGTGTGACTTTGGACAAGTCACTTAACTCTGTTTGCTTCAGTTTTCTCATCTGTAAAACGAGCTGGAGAAGGAAACGGCAAATCATTCTACTATCTCTGGCAAGAATATCCCAAATTAGGTCAAAAAAAGTCAGACACAACTGTGCCAGGTAGAGAGGGGATTGCAATCAATCTATGAACAAGCCTTCATATAGCATCTGCTGCATCACCCACAATGCTAGGCACTAGGGATACAATCAGTAAATCAAAAAGCATTTTTTAATTGTCTACTATGTGCCTGGCATTGTTCTAGGTACTGGTGATACAATCAGGCCATAAATTAGCATTTATTAAGCGCCTCTGTGTGCTAGACTTCAAGATAAAAAGCCAAAAAATAAAACAATCCCTAACTTCAAGCAACTTAGATTTAATTATTAGGAAGTTCTGTGTATACAGAGAAGTCCAACATACACATATGTTATATGCGTGTGCATGTGTATATTTATACATATACATGTATACACACAAATATGGGAGATGAAAGTCATCCCTGTTTCATACTCCAACATGAAGTAGACTAGTAGTGCTGAAACCCAACATGCACGAGGAAGAGTAATGTGTAGTCAGTCTGGAAAGATAGATTGAAACTAGACTATGGAAAGCTTTAAAAGCCAAACAGAAGAGCCTGGATTTTGTTTTAGATGTAATAGAGAGCCACTGATGCTCCTAGAACAGGAGACTGCCACAGTCAGACAGTCTGTTGGGGTTGTTTTTGCTTGGCTGGGGATCAGACTGATGCACACTGAGGTGCCTTTGCTCTCTGTGATTCTGAGGGTACTGGCTCTGGTGCCTGAACCAACCCCCTAACATTGTAGAGCAGAGCCCTTTGATAAGGCATGCTCAGTCTCACCTTCTATAGCACCTAATGTCATGTACTTTTATGAGCCTGTGGTCCATTAGTCCTCCAGAATTTTATGAGGTTGAATTTAACAGCATTCCCTCAGTCCACTGAGTTCAAAACCTTTTCTATTTTCTTCTCCAATGTTCCAAGTTAAGTGATGATAAGCTGAAATCAGTTAAACAAAAAAGCACATATCATATGTGTATATTTAACATATTTGTCTAACTGAGATATATATAAGTCGAGAGAGAGAGAGAGAGAGAGAGAGAGAGAGAGAGAGAGAGAGAGAG